CTGGATATTTTGCCGCCAAGCGACCTATAACCTTATTACGTAAATAGTAGTAAGATGTATTATATACTTATTTAAATAAATCATGAGAATTTCGTGTAACAGTTATCAAGTACCTTTGCCAAATCTATAAGTAAAAAAAAGCTAGTCTATAACGACAATTTTTCTTTTTTTTCTATCTCAAATCAATTATTCGATTTCAAATTGTTTATTCTTTTCTTCTAGTCGTAAGATTTTTTCACATAAAGATAAACCGGGTCAAATTCGCGCTCAGGGTTTTCAGGGTTGTCATGTTCTGGCTCAGCATTGGCATGAGCGTTGGCGAGTTTGGGTTCAACGTTGGCATGTTCTGCTCAGTGTTGGCATAAGCGTTGGCGAGTTCGGGCTCAGGGTTGTCATGTTCGGGCTCAGTGTTGTCATGTTCGGGCTCAGTGTTGTCATGTTCGGGCTTAGTGTTGCAGGATTAGATTCCGGTCTAATATACTGTACTAATACGTATAGTATTTTTAGTATACATATATTTATTTATTTAAATTATAAAGAGTGCCGAAAAGAAAAAACTCGAGTCGGCAATTATAGCTTATATTTCCCGGTTCGAGGTTTTTTCTTTCCGGCACTCAAATAATAAAAATATAGTCACCATAATTTTTTCACTATAATATTCCGCGGCACAAAATCTAACACCATAGTTAAAATTTTCGCGATCTTCATCCCGTAATAAAACCGACTTGCATCTGCGTGGTTCCTGAAATGAACATGAGCATGGTTTAAAAAAAAAATTATTAAAAATTTACAAGTATATACAACAAAAACCTATTATTGTAATAACTTACTTTTTACTATCAAATTTTTTTTTATGTGGATAAACGGAAATGGCGATTGTGACTTTAACCAATCTTCTAATTCGTTTATGCTTAAATTTGAAATTCCTCCGAACATTAAAACCGTAAATTCTGAATTACTGCAACAAGGACGAAAACCTATTTACCATAGTAAAAAAAGATACTGTTAGTTCGTCTCTTCGCAGTCAAAGAAAAACGTAAACGACTTCTTATTCAAAGTCAATTAGTAGCTTTGACAAAAAGATTCCTTTTCTACAAGGGGAGAAATCCTCCCGAAGGAGTGGAAATTGGATTGGAATTGGAATTGGAATGAAACTCCCGAAGGAGTGGATTTGGAGTTGGAATTGGAATGGAACTCCCAAAGGAGTGGAATTGGAATTGGAATGGAATTTCCGAAGAAGTGGAGTTGGAATTGGAATAGAACTCTTGAAAGAGTGGAATTGGAATTGGAACTCCCGAAGGAGTGGAGTGGAACTCCCGATGTAGAAAGGTTAGAATCCCGAAGAAGTTTATAGTAGGAAAAAACAAGACTTTATTCCTACCTTCCATTATGAATAGTGAGCGAAAAAATATCTGAAAGAATTGAAACAAAAAGAAAGAGGTAAGTTGCAAGTGGGTTTAAAGTAAAAAAAAATAATGAAAGAGAGAAGTTGCAAGTGAGTTTAAAGTAAAAAAAAAAAAAATAATGAAAAAGGGAAGTTGCAAGTGAATTTAAGTAAAAAAAAATAATGAAAGAGGGAAGTTGCAAATGAGTTTAAGTAAAAAAAAAAAAAAAAAACGTGAAGTAAATAAACAACGACGTTTCGCGTCTTCGTTCAGAGATATAATAAGTAACGTGATTTTTGATATTGATCTACATGCTGCATAAATCGCGTTCTTGATACATAAAAAACTAATGGTCTTCTAAAAAGGAAATTTAACGTAAAAAAAACAAGTTTACCATAATAAATTAATCATTATTGATACTTAGAACAAAATTCTAAAGGATGAAGTTTGGTAACGTGCGTAATATTGTGTTATTCGGTTTCTTAATACTGTAATATATCATCATAAGTTTTGACTTCCTGTCATAAGAAAATAAATGAACAATATTGATAGTAAAGAATAATAAAATTAAATGATAATTAAACCAATAGCTTACTAGAGTGCTAAGATTGACTTCTGCGATACGATCATCCGTTTT